TTTTTAGAATGAAGCTAGAACTGTCAGCTGGCAAGTGACACAGCAATAACATAGATATGAATGACTCTAGTACTTCCAAAAATGAACTAGTGCCGTCTGTTGCAAACATGCATCATGACTTTTCCGACAACCCAGTATATATAACAGAAAAGTTTAACTTAGGTAGAGCATTTCTTTTCTGTTTTCAGTAGTGGAATTTATTGCATATGCCTATGTATAAATAAAGACCCAAAAATTTGAATAAAAAAATAAATCATAGTAAAAATATATTTTTGCTTCATATTATGGGTTATTAAATAATAATACTTTACATTTGAAGAAAGTTTGTTGCAGCAAAAAGTATATCTCCATATACTTACTTGGTATTCCGAATAGCTCTGAAGTTAGAAAATACAGTTATAGTATGCATTTAAATACAGAACCTGAAAAGTTAAGTAACTTGTTATTCCTGACATAGTAGAAATTTTTAGGTCTGAGACTACGACCTACATCTTATTTACTTATTTACTCATTTGGTACTTAGCTTTTATACCATGCTGCCAAATAAGATAGGCAAAGAGAAGGAAAGATGGGTCAAGTTAGCAAAGAGGAAGTGGAGAGGGATAAAGGAGAAAAAAGAAGAATATTTTATGTAAGGAACTTCTCCAAAATACATAATGTTGTATTAAAATGTTATTTAACTTTATCCAAATATATTCTGTGATCAAAGGTATGTATTTTCTAGAGTGTTGACGCCTATAGAAACAGGCTCAATACGTGGACCTAAGAAACAGGGATTACCATTATGTTTTTTTAATGCACGCTTGTAATTTTTTAATGGTCAAATATTGTCTGTTTTAGTTATAAAATATTGAAATTTCTATCTAAAATGAAGCTGAAATAGTCTTATTACTCTGTCTTTTCTCCACTTTAACAGTGCAAACCCTTAGTTTTTGTTTTAGAAAGTCAAAAGAAGAGACGTTTTTCATGGTTATATATCTATATCTCATTGTTCTTTTAAAATGCAGAGTTTTAGACATTTTTGTTGCATTTACAAATCCAGAGACATAAATATTACCACACAATTTTTATAGTGTCCCTTTCCAAATTTGAATAAAAGTCTTTAAGTCTGTTAGTAGCTGAAAAGGGAAGCGAAGAAAAATGAAGAGGACTAGCTTGATATATTTTGCTAAGTGCTTTGAAAACATTATCTTTTGTCTTGCTAAAAACGTATTAAATTGTTGCTATCCATTTAACAAATGAAAAGACTATGGGTCATAGAGGTTAAATAATTTTAAGATCTTGCAGGAGAAATGTTGGATTGGAAATTATAAAAAGAATTGTTATAAGTCAACTAGAAAACATCCAGCAGCCCATAGAACTGAAATGTTTGATGCCATGGAGTTCTAAAGAGAGAGATCACTGAACTGAGGTCCTGTAGTTGATGAGAGGGTGAATGAGATGTAGTATTTTATAGTTGAGTCTCCTTGGCTCAGCATGTGCCATACAAATAAATTTCAGGCCATTGTGGACACTCAAAAAATGGAAGAGTAACCACTCCAGGATTATGAAAAAGAGCACTTGTCTTTTTCACCGCTATCCTAGGGCGTGCGGTTGACTCTTCTTCGCCATGTCTTCTCACAAGACTTTCAGGATCAAGTAGTTCCTGGCCAAGAAACAAAAGCAGAATTGGCCTGTTCCCACAATGGATTCAGATGAAAACTAGTAATAAAATCAGGTACAGCTCCAAGAGAAGACATTGGAGAAGAACCAAGCTGGGTCTATAAGAAATAGCACATGAGATGGTACCACATATTTATGCTGTGTCAGAGTTGCTTGGATCTTAACCATGATACTGAAAAGATGGGTACTTTCTGAATAGCTGGGTGTGTTTCATTGGAAAATTATGGGAAAAATGAGTTTTCTTTTAATATGTTTCTGTACTAGTATGTTGATTCAGTAATAAATATGTGAGGCCTTCTAAAAAAAAAAAGAAAAGAGAAAAAAAGAAAAAGAGCACTTGGCTCTAAAAGAGGCTTCTACACAAATCTTAGGGTCTTATCTTTTTTAAATGTCCTAAATATAAGTATGTATATACAATCATTTCAATGTAAGGCTCCCTAGGAAAGGGGGAAAGAAAGAAATATTACCCCACCTAAAGATGGTCTCTGGAATGTTTGCATAACAAAAAATATAGCCCTAAACTGTAACTAAACCCTCAAATTGTAAGAGAAATAAGAGTTTAATAGAAAGTTATTTACAAAATTATATTAATAAGTTTTAAGCTGCATAGTTATTAATGTATATCAGCGTACGCTTCTACTTTTTTTTCAAGGAAGATTCACTTTTCATTTTCTGCAGGGCCTGCTGCTCAAGTTTGCTGGGGTGAGAGTTGGGGCAGAAAGATGCACAGATGGGGAATATTTTGAGCCTAAAGGAGAGAAAGCACACCTTAGTGGGCTGGATCTACAGAGAATCCCATCAAAAGAGGTGTGTAAATTATACTCGACTTTTGTTGTTAGAAAATGTTGACAACTATCCAAAGTAATACTAATACAAAATAATTTTATATTTGCTTAAAGCAAACTGAAACCTTGTTATCTTTAATTGATGTTTAGTTGAAATCATCTAATCTGTTTGGGTGTGGAAACAACACCTCAGTCCTTGAGAGTCCAGAATTGTGTACAAAAGCAAAACATAGGGAGGGATACTGTAGGGAATGATGAAATGATGTTGCAAAGGGAGAGGTTGTTAATAATTTTTATAAATACTAAATGATAATTATTTATGCCACAAGCTCTGGAGAGTACAAAGGTTTCTCCTTTCATTAAAAGATAACCCATGGGGCCAGGTGAGTGGCTCGTTGGTTAAGAGTTGGGCAGCAGGGCTCAGTTAAGCACTAAGCAGCAGGGCCACCAGTTCAAATCCTGCATGAGCCAGTGACACTTGCCCTCTACAGCTAAGATGGTGAACAACAGCTCGACCTGGATCTGGGCTGCCATGAGTTGCCGCCGATGGTGTAGGCTGCAGTGGGGCTGCAGTGGGCTGCCATAAGCTACTGTGAGTGGCCGGCAGCCAGCATGAGCGGCCAGCAGTGTGAGCTGCCATAAGCCACTGTGAGCAGCCGTCCAATGGCCAGCAACCGATCTGCCTCAGCCAGGAAGAGCATAATGATCACAATACCAACATGGGCCAGTGAAGTGACGTCCTACACAACTAGACTGAAGAACAAAAGGACAGCAACTTGTCTGTTCCCCTTCCCCAATTCCCCAGTGCTGTTCCCATCCCCCCAATTCCCCAATAAAATCTTAAAAAAAAAAAAGATAACCCATGACCTAAATCTAACTTAAGCATTAGCGCAATGACTCTTCATGAGAACGACACAAAAATAGAAAGACTAAAAGTCAGAATGTCCCATGGTAATTAAAGAACCATTCCAAATTTTTCTACATAACTTAAAAAAAACCCCAAAAAACAGAAATACTGCATTTAGAATGGGTTTACTCCCAAGGCTCATGAAATTGTATTGGATGAAATATGTGGGTGGAGGGATGGACTTGATCATATCTAAGTTCCCTTCCATTACTAAGATTATATGATTGAAATATTTTGAACTTACCTAAATATTTTGGATAAAAATAGTCCTAGAAAGAAAGAAAAGAAAAAATATCTTAGTAAACCTTTATTTCACTATAGAATTAAAACAATTTTAGTGTTTTATTTTATTTTAAAGATACAAATAAATTCCATATAACTGTCATTTTTACATTACAACATTTTTTCTATAATAAAATATACCAGAGGTAGATAACTAATAATGTTATGCTAATACTTAAGTCAATATTGATCAATTAAATCATGCTTCACAAGCTTCCAATCTGAAAACCAGTTCTATTGAAGCTGTTAAATGTAATAACACGTGCCCCCTTTTGGTAAATCCATTAATTTCTACATAATAATTACATACCCATTTGACACATTTCATGTCATGCTAATTACACACACCAGATTCAATGTTGAATAACACTGACATCATCTGAAGTGAATTGAAGTAGACATTTATCTTTCAGCATCATACGTACATGTATACCTTACTTATTACTGTATTTTGCTGTGTATAATGCGCTCCAGTGTATAATGTGCACCTACATTTTTGGCCCAAACTTTCAGGGGAAAAAAAATCTTTCATTTTAATTTTTTAATTCAAATTTTTATTTGTTTACATTTAGATACTTGTTTTTTGTATTATAAAGGAATTAATTACAAAACACAAGAACAGATACAAGGTACAAGAAATCTTATGTACCGGTAACAAATTTATGATATTTATACATCATATAAGGCCAAGAACTCTTCATCGTTGCAAATTTGTCATGAGTTCAACAAAACTGATTATCGTATTCCAGGGTATTATTTTGCATATGCATATTGTTATTGATTTCTAGAGATACACTTTTAACTTATAAGAATAAATATAATCAGCCGAGTGGTGTGTTGGTTAAGAGCTGGCTTGGGACGCCAGCTCTGAGCAGCAGAGCCCTGGTTCAGACCCCACAAGGGTGCCGGTGACACTGCCCTCTACAGCTAAGATAGTGAACAATAGCTTGACCTGGAGCTGGGCTGCCAGGAATCGCCGGCGACGGCATAGGCTGCAGCCCCTGCTGCAGTGGGCTGCCATAAGCTACCATGTGTGGCTGGCAGCCAGTGTGAGCAGCTGGCAGCCAGTGTGAGCTGCCCAGAGCCACCATGAGTGGTCTCCAGAGACTGGCTTCCGATCTACCTCACCCAGGAAGAGCACAATGAAAATACCAACATGGGCCAGTGAAGTAACGTCCTCCACAACTAGACTGAAGAACAAAAAACAAAGGACAGCAACTTGTCTGTTCCCCTTCCCTGATTCCCGAACACTGTTCCCCTCCCCCAATCCCCCACTTTAAAAAATAAATCTAAAAAAAAAAGAATAAATAAAATAATTAAAAACATTTATATAGATATGGAATTAGTACTACCCATGTATAGTGTGCATCCTTATTTTTCCCATGTATAATGTACATCCAAATTTGGGCAAAAAAGTGTGCATTATACACGGCAAAATACGGTAATTGGTTATGAACCAAAAGTTAGTCTGTAAATCAGTAATTTGGACTATGGAATGCACTTTACCAAAGAGAGAAAAATGTCAAAAATGATTTCTAATGGTACGGTTCCTAGGCTGGTTCATGAATGCCCTCACACGCCATAATATATCTGTGTAAATATTAATAGCACAAAAACACCTCATGAGAAACCAGTATCCTAAACAGAAAGGTACTGAAGTACAAAACATAACTTCATCCAGTACAGAGCCAAAGTCCTCACTGTTTCCTCTTCTCACGTATAAATCTACACAACATTTATCTACTAGTTTATAAGGATGGGATCTCCACCAAGTATTTCAGACAGCAGTGTTGTCTTCCACAGACCAAAGCCAGGAGGATAAGCGACAATGAACGCGTTCAAAAAGAGATGATGTGATGGTGAAAGGAATATATTAGGCAAAATGGGGAGGTAAACAATAGGGTAGGGATTGGGAATGTGGACTAGGGTGTTAGGGATGTGGATAGTGAGTGGTTTTGGGAAAGGAGAGAATGAGAAGGAACAAATGTTGTTTCTTTCCCTTCATTTCTCCCATTTCTTCCTTTCTCTCTCTATCATATCTTTCCCTTCTGCCAGTGAGACAAATATCAGAATGATGGAGGAGAGGAAGCACATTCATGAACTTCCCTTCTCCACTATCTTCCCCTCTCTCCCTTATTGTTTTCTAACTCATTCCCAATTTGCTACTCAGAGGCTAAGCTGTAAGAACATATCTATAGTGTTAGAAATGCATAGTCAAATATTTATGGGTGGCATAATAATATGGTACCTCAGACATGCAGGCTTGCTTTAAAAATGTTCCAGCAAAACAAAACAAAATTAGGGTGGGTGAGGCAGAGAATAGGTAAAAGTCATATGGCAGGTTGTTAATCATTGCTGAAGTGGGAGGAAGGTATATTACACTTTATTATATTGTTCTCCTTACCGTAGTATATATTTTAAATTTCCATGATTAAAAATAAATCTGTGTGTGTGTGTGTGTGTGTGTGTGTGTATGCATGTGTGTGTATCTATTTCCTACAAAATAAGAACATCTGCTATATTGTGTGGAATAAAATATTTTTGTCTCGCCAATTATTGCTTATCCACAAAAGCAACAACACTGCAGGAAATATTTTGATTCAATCCCAGAGAGTATTAAAAATAAATCTTTGAGTTACCTTGGAAAAACTTCCCTTTGAACCTATTAGAGTAGGTGGAGGTAACACAAGAGAACACAAGTTATTACTGTCTTGGAAAAGTTCTCTAACTAGAGAGATGGTTCTTTCTCATTATCTCTCATCTAGTTTCATGGTCTCAAGAGCTATGGCAGAGGTAAAGGAGATACTTTTTATATGTTTTCTCCTTCATTTCCTTTTGGTTATATAGTTCATCTCAAGAAAAAATATCTGAGGTAACCGTGAAGGTTATCAAACTTGAATTCTCAAGGTCACCCTCACCCTAATTCTTAAAGGCAGTTTATTCTCCTGCTATCTGCAGAACATGTCAGAGCATATCCTCCCCTAGGAAATAAGAGGACTGAAGATAAGGTCTAGCGGCCTCATATGTCTATGATATTTAGGGGTCTTTAGGATTAGAAATTTTAAAACTAACTTGGAAACATTTATACACTAAAGATAAAAATTCTAACCCCAGGGATGACTGAAGATATAAAATGGCTCAGGAAACTTCCCAAGGGTTTATGGAATAAATTAAAGTATACTTGGGGAACATAGCACTGAATGAATTCTTTAGTAAGCATTCCCTGACTAACTATTATGTATGAAGTCTGGATTAAAGCCTTAAAAATGCCAATGGAGAGATTTAATGAAATATAGTGATAACAAAGCGATCACATGTGTGCATATGCACACACACACAAACACACACACACACGTACCCTATACTTAAGATGACTTCCCCCCTCATCCAATACTACCAAATTCCGGTTGGGAGAAATGATTTACAAACCAAGAGGTCGATGCTATTTGCTAATACTGAGGTATAATTGAATTATACTTTGGTCAAAGCATATTGCTTTTGTCAATACTGTCTTCCTAACAAGCACACCTTCCTTTGAAGGTACTTCCTCCTGAAATGCTTCAGTGGTTATACGTGGAACATGACATACACAATCACTAACTTTAAAAAGGAACACAAGAAAGCAAAGACTGAACCTGGAAATGTTCCATCTGTAACTGTAAGTCTAGGTGTGCTAATATAAATTTTCATGAGTTCTTACCGTTTCAGGGTTATTTTCAAAGATCTCCCGAGCTTCTTCTCTATTGCACACTTCTTCGATGCATTCTCTTTCAAGGTTGCCCTTTTGGAATTCTTCAATCCCATGATTTGCCCGACGCTTCCTAACCAGGACTTGTGAAGCATGTTGTTTTGACAAAACTGAAGAAAAACATAAGTTTATATGAATATTTCATTTTTCCACCTAAAATTATTGTTAAATATATTTAACAAATAATAAATATTATTTTGTTAAACGATGAGAATTAAAATCATTTTCTGCCTGTGAATTGTATGACATTTAAAATCAGTGTGGTCGAACTGAGAAAAAAATGTAGATACAGAGCACTTTGTTAAACAACTCAAAGAGCAGGTTTGGTGTGCAGCTACAGCACTTGCATAATGATCTACACAAATTATTCAAGTTCCTGCTTGAGGTCAAAGTATGCCAGGCAATACTTACTGCTTACTTTATAACTACATTGGAAATAGCATCATGCTGAAATGACTATGTCAAAAGCCATAGCCATACCATCTTTAAAGCTAGAGTAATAAACTTTCTCAATTTTTAATGGAAAACTTACATGATCGCCGAGGAGATAGAGAAATGCAGAGTATAGTCCAATCAGCTATTTAAAAAATACTTGATAGGCTAACACACTTCATTATTCATACAAACAGGAAAATCAAAATTCATAGCAAAAGGAAGACCATACAGAAGGCTCTTGGATCCACAGGGACTAATCCTATCATGACCTCTATGACCTTCTTCATACTCTAGTGAACAGCATTTCAATCCTATCAGAAATGCCCCCAGTTCTTTGCTCCTCATGATACAGTTCTCTATATTTATGTCCCCACAATCTATCCTCCCATTCTTTCATACACTCACACCAATCAGGCTTTTATCCATGACTAAACCACGCTGTTCTTACCAAGGTCAAAATACTAACTCTAATGGTTAATTATCAGTCCTCATCTTACATGATCTACCAGTAACACTGGACAATGTTATTGCTTTCTGGATGCAATATTTTAACCTGGCTTACAAGTCATCATGCTTTTTTCATTATTCTTACATCTCATAAGCCAGGCCCTAGTCATCTCCTCCTTTTGCTGACCTCTTAATATTAGCTGTCTATTTCTTGGTCCTATTCTCTACCAACATTCACTCCTTTGATTATCTCAGTCTCTTTCATGGCTGTGACATAATAATATATTATACATCCAGCTCAAGCCTCCCTCCTCACTTTAGTTCATATGTCTAGTTGGCTACTGGACATCTCCACATGGATGGTAAATAAAAATCTCAAACATGGCGGACATGTTTGAACTTTCAATTTCTCCACCCCATCTGAATGTGTCCATTTGAAGCCTCCTAGTTGATGGTAACTTCTAGGTGTACAAAAATCTTGAAATAATCCTTCATTCCTCTTTCTTCCCCCTCATATTCCATTTCACATTATCATGAAATTCTCTCAGCTTTCTCTTCAATATTTATAGAAGATAAGACCACTTCTCACCACCTCAACTGTTATTTTTGGTATAACTGTTTTCATTTTAAAACTTCCATAATTAAAATTAATAAAACATGTCCTTTCACCAACTATGAGTGAAGATTAAAAAATCAGTCAATACTATCTGTGGCATTTAAATATGTGAAGAAGATCAGTTTTGACAAAATTATTAGTAATTTGTGAAACTTAACTAATTAATATTATTCATTATTGTGACAGACGAATATGGATGTCCACCTTTTCTCAAAAAATTTATTAACATAATTAAAAATGATTAACGTATTACTTTTTCACGTTTGTTACTATAATATTTATTTTATTTAAAAATATTTAATAGAATCATTATATAGAATATCTAAGAAAAAAAGGCAAATTAAAAAATTGGTAACTTCAACTGTATAAAAATATTTAAATAGTTAAAAAACAACAAAAAATATATAATAAAATTCAACATCAAGCAACAGATTGGAGGAAAATATCTGTATCATATAGAATAGAAAAAAATACATCCAAAAGTTACAAGCAACTTTTGCAAATTAAAAAAGTAAAACAACAAGGCTAGCAGAGTAGCGCGTTGGTTAAGAGTTGGCTTGGAATGCCAGCTCTGAGCAGCAGAGACCCGGTTCCGGCCAGTGACGCTGCACCCTGTACAGCTAAGATGGTGAACAATAGCTCGACCTGGAGCTGGGCTGTGGTGAGTCGCCAGCACAGCGTAGGTTGCAGTGGGGCTGGCCAGCAGCTGGTGTGCGCTTTTGTGAACTTCCTTGAGCCACAGGGAGCGGCAGTCCAATGGCCGGTGAGCAACTGCCTCACCCGGGTAAGAGTGCAATAATAATACCAACATGGGCCAGTGAAGCAACGTCCTCCGCAACTACACTGAAGAACAAAAGTACAGCAACTTGGCTGGCTGAGTGGCTCTGTTTGTTTAAGAGCTCGCTCAAGAGTGCGAACTCTGAGCAACAGGGTCGCCAGTTCAATTCATGGCCTGAGCTCAGCTGCAGCTGAGCTGCCAACAAGTGGCAGGATGGCTCAGCTAAGAAAAAAAAAAAGACAGCAACTTGTCTGTTTCCCTTCCCCGATTCCCCAATGCTGTTCCCCTCCCCCATTCCCCAATAAAATCTTTTTAAACTAAAATAAAACAACAAAAGCCAACCAGTACAGGAATATGTACAAGATTAAATACAAAATAATTCAAATAGTATAAATAAAATATGAACAAAACAATATAAATAAAATCATACACACCATCTCACTCTGGTCAGAATGGCTATCATCAATAAATCAACAAACAAGTGCTGGCAAGGTTGTGGGGCAAAGGGAACCCTCATGCACTGTTGGTGAGATTACAGATTGGTGCAGCCATTATGGAAATCAGTATGGAGGTATCTCAAAAAACTGGAAATGGAACTACCGTATGACCCAACAATTCCACTCTTGGTTATCCATCCAGAGAAACCCAAGACACTAATTTGAAAAAATATATGCACCCCTATGTTTATTGCAGCGCTATTTACAATAGCCAAGATTTGAAAACAACTGAAATGCCCATCAGTAGACGACTGGATTAAGAAACTGTGGTACATTTGTACAATGGAGTATTACTCTGCTATAAAGAATGAAATCGTACCATTTGGGATGATATGGATGGACCTAGAGACTATTATGTTAAGAAATGTCACTCGGAGAAAGACAAATACCATATGATTTCACTTATATGTGGAATCTAAAAAACTGAATGAACGAGCAAAGTAAACAGAAATAGACTCAGAGATACAGAGGAAAAACTGATGGTTGCTAGTTGGGAGCGGGGTGGGGATGAGGGAGAAGGGAAAGGGATTAGACAGCATAAATAGGTAACTATAGTATTGCCACAGGGACATGAAAGACAGTTCAGGGAATGTAATTAATAATGTGGTAAATATTTTGCAGGGTGTCAGGTGGTCACATGTCTTGTTAGGGAGACTACTTCATGGATGGGGTAGAGGCTTGATCACTGCACTGTACACCTGAAGCTGATGTTGTATAATATTGTATGTCAACTATAATTGAATATATATATATAGTCACGGGACGTGAAGTATAATGTAGGAGTGGAGTCAAGGAAATTACAATAGATATGTATGATATGTGGGGGGAGTGGGGCGGCGGATTGGGGGAGGGGGGTTGTCACTTTGAGGGGTAAAAAGTATAAATATTGCACTGTGTTGTACACCTGAAACTAATTTAAAAATATAAAATAAAATAAAATCATACACACATCACTACAGAGAAAAAATATATGGGCAATAAACATATGAAAATATGTCCAATACAAATTTAAGAAAACAATTATAGTTTTGCCTATTCAATTTGCAAAAATGTAAAAGACCGATAATGTCAAGTATTGGTGAGGATAAGAGAAAACAAGTATTCCTGTACATTGGTGGTGGGAATATAAACTGGTAAGCATTATTGTAAGGTAAATTGGTAGTACTTGAAAATTTAAAGCACATATACTCTTCAACTTAACAATTCTACCTCTAACTATGTCCTACAGATACACATTTCTGCTGGAAAAGGCAATGCATAAAATGTTTATTGGAAGATTGAAATATCAAAAAGAATTAAAATCAACCTAAACAGCAAGAAGAGAATGAAAAAATAAGCTATAAAATACATCTGTACCATAGAATGATAAGCAGCTATTACAAAGAAGAAACATAACTTTTGCACTGAAGATCTCCAAGATATATTAAGTTAAAAAATGGAAATTGTGGACCACCACACCTAACATATAATCCTACATGTATCAGCCAAACTTGTAGAGATGTAAATATTATGTGGACAAATATATAGAAAAGAGTGAAAACACTCTCAAACTGCTAACTGCAATTATATTTGAAGAAAAGAATATAGTATAAAATTCTGGTTTAGTTATTTTAGTATATGAACAGAACATAACTTTTTAATGAAAAATTTTCAAAGCACAAATAAAATCTATAAATTATGCTTCGAATCCTGATTTTTTTGTTTTGTTTTGTTTTGTTTTGTTTTTAGCTGAGCCATCCTGCCACCTGTTGGCAGCTCAGCGGCAGCTCAGCTCGGGCCAGGCATCGTTGAATCCTGATTTTAAACACAGAGTTCTTTCACTAAGATGAGAAATAATATAAATAGCTAAATTTATTTTCATTTATTTCTCTTATTACCTCTTACTTAATATGAAATAAATACTCAAAGTTTACCATAGAAAGAAGAAAAAAAGCAAAAGATTAATCAACAATCACCATAATTATTAGTTGAATAATTACACATCTTTTGAGCTAATTAAGTAATGTTACTTTGTTTCTCTTAGTTGCCAAAACAGAAGTGTAAATGTGACAACTAACTAAATAAGTACAGTGTTTGGGTTATATTTTTAACTCTATCTCTTGTCATCTTTATCACTGCTCATTAAGATGAAGATTAAATCAAGGCTGTGTGTATTTAAAGATGCTATTCTATGAGCATGCTACCCTCCAAGTGTATTACTTACTGATAAACAGCAGCCCCGTCAGCAATGAAAGAGTTTGACATTTGCAATTATCTCATGTATTTGAAGTAGTTTTAAGCATCCTACATTATAATAAATGTAGCAAAACTTGGCCCTTCTGAGCTTCAAAGCAAATA